TTACGTCTTGGCTTTACTGCTCACCGCAATGTTCATGCAGTTATGCCAAACGACATGTCTATGATCCCTTATAATGGTGGAAACCTTGATGTTGTGCTGTAGGTCACCATATCATCATATTCTCTTTCATGGCTGACCGCGAACCAGCCGACACAATGACTCGGTCGTGGTTTTGGACCGTGATTCCCAGCAGTTAGCTCTGCGAAATGCCGCAGATGCTCATGAGGGTAATCTGGAATTTGCAGACTGTCCCTGGTGCCACCGGCCCATGCGAGATAGGAGTAGAAGCAGACATCGTGGAACTGAGGATCCAGAGGCGGAATTCGTGAACCCGAACTACTTCCGTATGCTAAATAATAGCCTGCCAAGCTCAGCGAGTTCCTCACGACCTCCATCGCCTCGCCGCCGCCTCGTTCACCCTTCCCTCCCACGCGGTATCACTAGTGCTCCCTCACAAGCGGCACCGGCACAGCCGCCTCAGGGTATCTCCTCCGCAGCCTTCAGTCAGGATTACTTCAAACGATTCTTTGTCGAGGAAAAGGAGCTTGGCAAGGGCGGGAAAGGTGTTGTGCTTCTTGTTAAGCACATGCTAGATGGGGTCTCGCTCGGTCACTATGCTTGCAAACGTGTACCCGTCGGCGACGATCATGAATGGTTGGAAAAGGTACTTGGCGAAGTACAACTATTACAACACCTCTCGCACCAGAACCTAGTCTCATACCGGCATGTCTGGCTGGAAAATGCCAAGATAAGCACATTCGGCCCGCCGGTGGCATGCGCTTTCATTTTACAACAGTACTGCAACGCGGGCGATCTGCATAATTACATATACGGCTCCGTACAAACGTCATCCACTGCACAGCAACTGAAAGATCGACTTCGGCGCAAATCGAGAGGGGAACCTGAGCCACGAGCTGGATTGGGTGGCCCACGGATGCTCCAACTGGATGAGATATATTCTTTCTTCAGAGATATAACCTCGGGCCTACGACATCTCCATATGAATGGGTACATTCACCGCGACTTGAAACCTAACAATTGTCTTCTCCACGACACGAGTGATGGAATCAGAGTGCTTGTGAGTGACTTTGGCGAAGTTCAGCAACAGAACTCGATTCGGAAATCAACGGGCGCAACTGGAACTGTGTCATATTGCGCGCCTGAGGTGCTTCGGCAGGATTTCCCCGATGGACCCTTCGGCAACTTTACTTTCAAATCAGACATCTTCTCCCTCGGAATGATCCTCTACTTCCTTTGCTTTGCCGAGCTCCCCTACGCCAGCGCCGATATAGTGCACGAGGAAAATGAGGATCTCGATCAGCTTCGGGCGGAAATTACTGGCTGGACCGGATTCGACAACGCACGTCGACGCCGACCCGATCTTCCCGAGAAACTTTATACATTCCTGGAACGTCTACTAGCCGTAGATCCCAACCGACGACCAACTGCAGACGAGGTCCTTAACGGAATCCAAGCCGGTGCCACTGAAAGCTTCCGCTTTAAGAGAAGCAGCTCAGTGAGTCCCGATCTGCCAGGTGGACCTCGAATCCACCCAGCCGATAGCCCACAGCCATCAATGGAACGAGCTCTATCGCCAACGAAAAAGCTCCCCGCCCACAGCAGCCAACTAGCATATCGTCGAGGCTCCGGATCCGGAAGCAGCAGGACACCAGACCAAAACGCAGGTCTCGAGAATCCACCATCATCAATGAGCCCAGATAGAAACATGATTGTTCGCCAACAGCGATACTCCACCTCACCACCAGTCTCACCATCGAGACCCTCACACGACGAAGACACTCCATCCCCATCCCGATCTCACTCCCCTGTCCGCCCACAACATCTCCTCCCCCGCCCCCGAGCCGATTCCCACACTTCGACATCCTAACCTCTATCTCCTCACCCGGTCTACAACTCTCCCTCTTCCTGCTGAAAGTCGTCTCGGCTTTCCACCCTTGCTCACCGCTAGCGGTAAATGCATGGGTTCTATACCCGCTCGTCCTTTTGGCAGCCGCTACTCTTGGTATACATGACGTCCGGCTACAAATATCCACATTGGTCGCGCATATTCTTGTCGTCGGTATTGGGATGAGGTTTGGCGTTCTTTGCGCGTGGCGGGCGGATTCGAATGGTCACGGTGATGCCTCGCATTGGTCTTCCCTCTGATGGTGTAATGAGCAGTACTAGTAGTAGTACTCCCTCCATTCATGTTTATATGCATGTTTTGGATGACCGTCCATGAAACGCAGTAACGATCGCGCAATATGAGTTTGGATCCTGGCGTAATAGGTAGCAAGGCATATTATCAATTAAATATTATTCTTTCGGAATTGGAATTAGTTTTGCGACTTAGTACGAAGTACTAGTAGTCATCTACAAACATAAATTCTAGAAGGATGTCGGGACGTTAAAATAACCGCGTATCAACAGACTCAGAATCCCCGCCGGCCCCGCGTCCCTACAAAAAATGTCCGTAGGTATCCATGCGGACACAATACACACAAATTCTGCAGTTCGACAGGGCGTTAGATAGCAAGGGCTCTGAAGGATACCCGGACAGAGAATTGTTCCAGATTTTGATCTTGGAATTCGTGATGTGATAGTACCATTGAGAGAGGTAAGACCACTCGTCGTGACACAGGCCATGACGGACGAGATTCCTGTTAGCGGGCACAAGAGGAAAGGGGAATAGGAAGGAGGAGAAAATGGGAGAAGGTTATATAATAGAGATGGAAGGGGGAGGGGAAGTTTGTCAAATCTACGCGCAAACGGAGAAACAAACAAAGAATGTCGGATAATGTATGGGTTTATATTGGGTATAAATTTTTGAATGCACATGGGCCGAGGTCAAGAAATCAGGGCCAGGGCGAAGATCAAATCCAACGGGTTACTACTTCATGCGAGCAGCCCTGAACTTACTGATACGCCTGGGTTCAATTTCACCCTCACGGATCTCGTATTCCGTGTCTTGTTCTTCGTCCATAAATCCGCCTTGTTGCTGGATCTTGCGGTTGCGGGCCTTGAAGAACTCGGTGGCGATTTGACCGCGGTGCATTTCCTCGTCCAGCTCATCTAGTTCAGGAGCAGCGGCAGTACCAGAAATGACATCGCGTTCGACCAATTTGTCGGCCAGGGTTTTGCCTTCAGGAGGCTGGGGACCGGACGGGGTTTCGGTGATGTCCGTAATTGGGGCTGAAAAGGGCTTGGGTTCCTTTGGTGTGGCGGGGAACAAAGCTGGAGGGGTGCTTGCCGGAACTGCGTTGGTTTGTTTGCGAGCGAACCCAGGTTCGGATGGCTGAGAAGGTTTCAGAGATGATTCAGCTGAATTGGATTCCAGTCCATTGGATGCTGGCGCAGCTGCCCGTGCCGTCTTGAATCGCGAGACCTTCTTGGGGGCATTGTTCGTAGATGGTTGAACGTCCGGGGTGCGGTTTGTTCGTTCCACTATGGCATCCGACAACACAGTGACATCAGGCTGCTTTGTGGGGAGTGTTCTCTGCTCGGCGACGACGGGCGTGGGATCAGCAGCCGGTGCAATGTCAAGATCTTCTGCGAAAGCGACCCGCTTCTTGGGTTTCTTGCCCTTGTCGGAGGACTCCACGCCATTGGGCGGAAGGTCTTGGACAGAAGGAGGGTTCTCGATATCCTGACGCATTTCCTCCGGCAGAGAGTCTGTGTTTTTGCCAACGTTGTACATTCCACGAGCATTGAGTTTGGCTTCCAACTCCCGCATCTGTTGGTGATATTCCTCAGACAGCACAGTGTGCGAGCGACCGTATTCGTCTTCATTTTCCTCTTCACCTGAGTCGAAGTCATAATCTTCTTCGTCGTCAAGCGAAAACTCGCTTCCCTCTTCGTCCAGTTCCAGCTCCGCGACAATGGCGCCTACCTCGTCGATCCCATATTGAAGCATTTCTCGGCGTAGCCTCGCTTCTTCGGGGGACTCGTCGACATCGATGACGGGGGGTTGTTGACGGTCTTCGGGTGTCACGAGGGAGACAGGTCTTTCCAGATCGGGATCGTCCTCTAGTACAAGGTCCTTCGCCTCTGGGGCATGTACAGGGCAATCCAGCGAGTGGGTGTGGTTTTCTTGGGTCGCAGAGGCCTCTGTTGGAGTTTCTTCTGCCTTATCACCTGCTGTGGCGCTTGCAGTTGTGGGGTCCGAGTTCTCGGTAGGTTTCTCAGTCTCCGGAATGTTCTGGACGCCAACCTGCTTCAGCACGTCAAGCAGCTGGGGCGCCTGATCACCGGGTGTGTTGATGGTGCTCGAGATAACCTCTCCATCTTCATCCAGCTCTTCCATGATCTCCCGCATGGGAAAGTCGTTGCCACCTTCGATGGGTATTTGGTCCTGTTCATCCAGCGCGTGCAACTCATTTTCGGCGGTCTGTAGTCTTTTCTCCATTGTAGAAACATTCTGCTTCACGTAGTCGATTCGCCGACCAAGGAGATCCACGACCTGACCGCGCGACCTAGAGACGCCCTGGGATCCAAGAATCTTCTGCATTTCCTCCTGGTCCACTAGTGTTCCTCCAAACTCGCGTCCCACCTCCAAGAAGTCTTCGGTCGAAGCGCCGTTGTCGAGAGCTCCGATCTCCTCGCGAATGCCATCGTATTCGGCTTCCCAGGTTCTCCAGTGGTATAGTGACTGTTGGAGCTGCAGGATGTTCTCTTCGAGAGTGAGGCGGCGCTGCTCGAGCGCGCCGAGGTCGGGGTTGGGAATGCCCATGATGGGGATGGAAAGAGGAGGCGCTCGTGTATCAGTATGATATAAATATACAGGATTCTCCTATAGGGTGTAGAGGTGAGGAGGGAGATGCAAAAGAGAGAAGAGAGCAGAATAGTGCAGAAGGACGAGAAAAAAGAGTGGGAGGCGCCGGAAAAAAAGCGGGGCCGAGATGAGTCTTATCTTATCGCCTCCATCAACTTCCATAGCTTGACCACTTCCCTCCGCTCTTCCCCATCACCACACCACTTCACACCACACCACCACCCTCATTATGGCATCCAAGGGGATCGACCGCCGGGATGAAGACGGTATGTCTACTCCAGAGCCCTTTTCTTCTTTAATTCCCCAAGCTAACAAGAATAGAGGTCTGCCCCGTCTGCAAGTCCTCACGGTATCTCAACCCGAACATGCGCTTCCTCATCAACCCAGAATGCTACCACAAAATGTGCGAATCTTGTGTCGACCGCATCTTCTCTTCCGGGCCATCAAACTGCCCCGTCGCCGGCTGCCGTAAGACCCTGCGCAAAAACCGTTTCCGCGCGCAGACCTTTGAAGATATCGGGGTGGAGAGAGAGGTAGACATTCGACGACGGGTGATGCAAATGTACGCCAACACCCCCCCCCTTCATTTCATTTGATTTTATGGCATTATAATACTGCAGTCCCATCTAACAAGCTCTTCTCCACTGTACAGTCTTAACCGCCGCGAAGAAGAATTCGACACAAAACGCAACTACGACGATTTCCTCGAACAGCGCGAAGAAATAATAGCAAACCTCGTCTCCCGCACCAACGAAGCAAAAACAAACGCCCAACTAGCAAAATACGCCACAGAAAATGAACAGTCCATCCGCGCCAACCTAGCCCTCGAAGAACAAGAAGCAACCTCCTTCCAAGCCCGCATGACCCTAGAACAAGAAGAAGCCCAGCGCCGCCGCCAAATCGCGCGTCAGGAATACGAGAACGAGCGCCGTGAGCTCCAAGCCGGACGAGAAGACATGTTGTCCCGACTCGCGTCCGGAACTACCGCAGACGCAAACGCCATCGCGAGGGAAAGTAGTAAAGTGCATCTTAAGAAATCGTCTGCGCGGCGCAGTGAGGAGGAGCGCATTCGTCTTAAACAAGCTGCGCTGCGGGGAAGTGAGACGAAGCGCGGTACGCCGCTGTCTAATTCTGAGATTGCAGGCGCTGCGGACTCGGGCTTGATCAAGGGTTTGAAGAAGATTAAGACGCCTGAGCTGGAGAAACCGTACGATCCGTTTATGGGGCTGGTTCCCGAGACGAGGGATTATTTCACTTTGCAGGAGTCGTATCCTTCTACGTTCTTGGAGCGGCAGCGCCAGAATGTGCAGGGCTCGGCTGGTGGGTACGATCTGCGTGAGTATTACTCGCGCACTATGCTTGAGGCTTTTGCGGGGTTGGGTGTTTTTGTTGAAGAGGAAGTATCGAAACGTGAAGCCGAGAAGAGCTCTAAGCCAACGGCCACTGAAGGCGCTGCGATTGCTGCCGCCAGTGAATAATAATTGCTCAGATCCCATCCTCCATATATAGCATAGCAGCGGCGTCCTTTTCATCTGGAGCAATATTATTTATTTACTACTAGTTAACTATAACTACTCAATGAACTGAAATGAAACAGCTTGTTTGCATTCCCTGGAATCAATTTTATTACACACTATAGACCACGCTTCAATGAGCCGAACGCCAGACAAGACTAGAGGTTGAAAAAGCAGAATGCATTGAATATCCACGCCAAAAACACGAGTTACAGGGGTTATCGAAAAATAAATTTAGTTTCGCACTATGCGCGACCAGTCAGCTCGGCAGTACTCTCAATACCTTCCCAAGGAAGCTCAGATTCTCCTTCCACGTCCAAATCCACCGACTTGGTCACATCAATACCAATCGACTCAAGAGTCTGCTCCATCTCTTGCTCTGTAATATGGTTGCCAGTCTTGTGGTCTTCCAAGACGTCGTAGAGGGCGTATATCTGGTCAGATTTCTGATCAATTTCTCTCATCAAGGTCTCGACCTTCTCCATTAGTGACTTGCGCTGGCGCTTGGCCATAGATGCGTCTAACTTGTTGTATGCACTTTGGTATCCGGCCAGTTGCATCTTGAGATGGGAGAGCTCGTCTTCCAGAGCCTTTAGTACATTGGCGAGGGCAACGGCTGGTGGCTGGGATGGCCGAATAGTAGGTTCGGGATTATGCACAGATGGCTCGGGCATGCGCTCAGACACGGGAACGGGCTGGGGAACATTGATGGGTTCATGATCGCACTGGCCATCGTTGGGCAGAACATTTTTGCAAACTGTGCAGTTCTTGCCGTTGTGCTGGGCGATGTCGTCAAGGGCTCGTTGGGCCGACTCAGGGAGGCGGGATGGGTTGTTGGCAGCAAAGTCTGCATGGCTCATTGTGATGTCGGGAAGAATAAAGGCAGAGGTCATGTCCTCCTTCGGCGCACGCTTCTTGCGCGACGCGACGGACGCAACAGAATGGTCGGAGTGGCGGCGATGGCGTTCGGCGGTAGGAACGACCAGGCTATCATCACCTTCAGTTGTTGCTACTGATCGGGAAGTGATATCGCCAGTTGCTGACGCAGGTCGAGGGATGGAGGGCTTGGGCTCGCGAAGGGAAGATTTGCGGGGAAGAGATGTCTTAAGGATACTCTGGCGAGTCGAGTTGGCTGTTTCATTTCCTGTCAAGTCCTTCGGGATACTTGAACGACGCTGCTTGCGCTGCAATCTCTCTTCCTCAAGTGTTCTCCGGAGTCGAGAGATCTCATTCTCCTGTAAAGTAAATGTTAGCGGATATTATATCGATTGAATGGACTTCAACTCACGTCAATGACACTCAGCAAGGTCAGCTCATCAACGTCGGATGGCGCCCTGCTCTGTTCGGTTGCCTCAACCGGTTCGCTCACGTCTTCCAGAACCACCCGCTTGACACGTTGCTTGCTGCTGTTGGGCTGTTTCCTGGAGCTTTTGGACTCGGGCACGCGCGGAGCCTCTGATCGATACTTCTTAGATCCGGATGTGCGCTTGGGGGTTGGCACGTTTATGGAAAAGAGCTCCTCCTCAGCCCGTTCCCTCTCTAGACGGTGAATCTCCTTGTCGACTTGGGTCGAGATCTTCGCACGAGAGTCATCCTGACGCCTGCTCTTGGGGTTAGATCGTGCACTGCGGGACGTCAAATCGCGAGTGCTGCGACTCATATCACCACTGCGCTCTGTGTACACTTGGCTATCTTCAACCTCAGATGTGCTCGAGAGGGCTTCCGAGTCCCCGGTATCCTGCTCCCGGGTCTTGCCGGAGGCAAATCGAGATAGTTGAGACTTGAGCTCCATGTTCTCTTGTCGCAGGCCTTCGTTTTCCACTTTGAGTTCGCGAGTCTCGAGGTAGGCAACGCCGAGCTGTGAGATAGCCGATTCACGCTCTTGGTTCATACGCTTGACCGCGGCCTCCTGCACTTGTGCCTTTCGATCGGCGATGTCGAGCTGATTTTGTAACGCCACATTGGCTGCTTCGAGCTCTGAAACACGGTTAGTTAAATGGTAAAAATTGTAATAAATTTCTTTGGTGAACGTACTCTGGTTCTCATTGGCAGATCGCTTCGAGCTCTTCTTATAATCGCCTTCTTCGGTCTCGTATCTGTCCGAGTGTCGAGATCGGCCCGCCTTGAGGGCGGCATTTTCGACACGGTAGTTCTCCAGTCGCTTCTCGGCATCAGACTTGAACATTGATAGTTCAGCAACCTTATCCTGCAACAGTCGCAGGTTCACGAACAATGCCTTCTCGTCGTCCGGGATGGGACAGCGTCAAGGGGCAAGTGCTGGCGCGTGAACGAGACGTCAGTCTGGTCGTGGGGAGGAGACACAAATCGGGTAGAGCGGAGTTTTGATTGACGGGGGAAGACAGGTGTTCCGTCTTCATAGACGCCAGATACAAGTTCGGAGATGTTGGGAAGGTCGGGAAGGAGGAAAGAGTTCCGAGTCATGGTGTCGCCCATGGTGTTATTCTGATTCTGCTGAGTTTGTGCCGAGCTGGTCTTGCGGGGAGTTCCTGCGTTACTGTGGCCGCTCGATTTGCGCATTTCCTTCGCGTAAGCTTCGCGCGACGCACGCTCCACGGCTTCAGCAATCTCGTGGGAGTGATTAGGGTTGGCAAAACGCGTCGATCGCGAATTGGTCGGCGCTTGGACGGGTCGCTCATCGCCCAGGAAGGATCCATCGTATGATTCTCGCACTTTGGCGTGCATATCTGAGAGGGAACGGCGCTGGTCGCGTTGTTGGGATTTGGAAACTTGAGGACTCATCGCTTCCTTCTGGTTTTGAGCTTGTGTTGCCCGGCGCAATTGGGCGTCTTTGCGTAGATTTTCGCTGACAGCACGTCGCGTACTACTGCGGACAGGCTGTTTCTGAGGAGTTGGGTACTCAACACGCACGGCGGGTGAGGAAGATCGGACGCTGTTTTCGAAGCTCATAATGGAGTCGCGCGAGTCATCCACGCGACGAGGCTTGCCAGTGGCGCGGCCAAGTTCCATGGACAAGCTGTGCTCGGAGAATTCGTCCTCTGCTTGAACTTCGTCTTCGTCCGAGGGCGATAATTGAGAGAAATCGGGGAAGGCGCGGTCGATGGTGGAGGTGTTGATGGCGAAGTCGGGCTCGTCGTCTAAGTGGAATTCGCGTGTCGATGCCAGAGCTTCGTGCTCGGGGTCAAAATCCGACATAGTAAGACTCAAGTCCCGCATGATCGAGAACTTGAACTTGGAAGTGAGGGTGAGGGTGAATGGGGGAGAGGGGAGGATCGGATGGAGAAACAACAACACTCCAGGCTTGAAGTGGCTGGGAGGTTTGTTTTGGCGCGGGAATGTTTGGGAGCGCGCGGGCCAATCACAACTCACCCTCAGCCCCACTTCCATACAACAGCATCCAGAGTATACAAAGTAGAGTAGTGATACTGATACGGGGCTGAGAATAATATAATTCAGATGGATAATAGTATTTTCAGAAGTATTTCCATTGCTGGGACGGGAGATCTATGAAATGAGTAGTGTTTTACATCTTGGAACTGCAGCAATCTCTGATATATATTTCAACTAGCAGTACTTGCCCAGGTGGTAGTTACATCCCGTCTATATTTTCCCCATCATCTCGTTTAACTCAGTGAGTACTATCAGAACACAACTTGAAGGTGAGAAGAGATTGAACGTATAGAAAGGGATACTAGTACCCGTGGTATCATATGGACGTCAAAGTATCCATGAATTGACAAAATTTGAAAAACAGCGACTTTGACGGCATTTCGGCAAATGATACACCACTCGACACCTAGGCTTGGAAGTAAGACTAGATGATACTTGAGATCCACATATAGTGCTAGGTGCCTAGGTTGAAAATAGAAATAATGAATTTAATTCCGCTTTCAGACACAATGAAATTGTGGACCCAGTATGCTTTGTTTAACAGACCAAGACCGAGACATTGCCGTTGTTCGGTTCATGCATGCCTTTGTGACCATTCGTGAACGTCTCGGCTGGATACGAAATCATTATGTGGTCAATGGTACAAGAATCGTCCTGTATTGCCTTGATTGCGTCGTCCTCTAGCGAATGCCGCATTTATACATCTAACATTTATAGATACGGACCGAATCGAACAACATGGTGCATTTCACAATGATTATGTCTCTTTTAGCTCTGCTTTTCTTGATATTCGAACCCGAAGGTACGCGTCTCCTAATTATTATAACCAGACAGTGAAAGTTTATACTTATTTCATAGAAGCTAACATTAAATAACTGCAGTACCTTCAGTGATTCGCGGTAAGTGTCTGCTGATTATAAAATAAGACAGTGGGATTTCACTTGAACAATAGAAGCTAACGTATAGCAATCGCAGAGCTACTTCTCATAGCATCGATCCCCGGGCTGATGTGGTGTGGAATTAGTCTGGAAAGAACCCGTATGCAGACTAGGCCTGCTCAATATTCCCACAAAGATTTCCCCGAGGACTCGCACGAAAACTCCCGAGAAGACTCCCACGAAGACTCCGACGACGATTCCCCCGCAGACTCCCCCGTATACCACCACGAAGACTTCCAAGAAGACTCCCGCTATGATTTCAACTATAATGTCAGTTTGCGGGAAGACATACCACCGGGGGGGACTTGGCTTTGAAGTGCCCGAGAGCGAGGATGTTTTTCTTTATTGCATGCGCCGGGTCGCTGACCGGACCGCTGAGCAAATGAGAAGACAAGCTCAAGCTGCCGAGTAGTCAGATGGGTTTATACTAGAATAGACCATTGCTTGTTTTCAATTTTTCAAATAGACAATATTTTTACCGTTCCATACTATGGCAAGAAATTTTGGATCAATCGATTCATCAGCAAAGGATTCTTCGGCGTGACTTTGGTGGGAAACTATCAGCTTTCTTAGTGCCATCGACTATTTCTGAAGATTTGATTTACCGGTTGCGTAAATGGAATACTTCGTAGAGTTTTTTTTAACCAAGATTTACAAGAAGATGTTGGTCCAGTGTAGTATAATTGGAACGGAGCAGCAATACAATCCACTGCTGCAAAACATCTTCATTGTCGTGACTAAAGTCGTACCCATGCTGATTCGAGCCTGGGAGCACTTAGAAGCCCTCACAAAAATGGTAAACTAACATTGTGAATACAAAAACAGAAGTTGAGTGTTGAAATAAAACCCTTTGTTTTGAACCCTTTTTATTGAAACGGACTGCTTTCTTATTGTTCATTTTGTAAACTCTTTGTACCTAAATTCCTTTTATTTGCCGAGTAAGAACTTCCAAATAAACAAAGGCTATTGTTTCAACCAAATACTAGTAGGAAGTACAGATCTCGAGGTCTATAAAGGCATACAAGTTTCTCAAGATTCATGCTATCAAGCCACTCATCAGCTAAAGCAGGGACTCAGTGCATATCGCAGCTCTATTTCATGGCGACTTGCATACAGTTTCACAATCTCGAGAGTTATTCATTTCGAGTTTTCATCATGGGCCAGACCATATCACAGATCTTTGGGGGCGTAGACCCCTGGTATGTACCATCGGAGAAGTTGGAGGAGTTGGAGAGTTGGTTCACAGAATCATATGATGAGCGAACTCAGAGACTGGTTGTGCGTATTAGCCAGATCAGGTGGAGGGCAATACCGGCGAATCCTACTATGGCTATTGTGCCAATTGAGTTTCTTCAGGCATTTGAAAGCTCACTGGACACTGCTCTTGACGAGTGCCTGGGCGATGAGTGGAAAACCGAATGGTGGATACATCGTATCTGGAACCTACTTGAGTGGGCCGTTGAGGACTCGGATTACAGAAATGTGTCGGCATCCACCTTGGAGCATTTTCAGAAACTGGTTGATATGAGAGTCGAAGAAAGAAGCACAGAGCCCCAAATAGTGTTTCGGCTATACGTTGATAGACTGAGAGCTATGTTCTATGCGCCGGATTTCGGACTTTCTGAATGGTTCATGTATACATTTGCAAGCTGGCTTCGTTGCCAAAACTTGCCACCCATGCCAGCATATCTAGAATACATGGACCCTCCGTTCGAGTGGGCTCCAATCGAGAATCCGGAAAATGCAATCGAGCGTTCAATTGCTAACCTGACTCGTAGGCCCATTGAAAACCTACTCGAACCTGGGGAGGTAGGGGAGTGTGGTATTTGCCGACAAGAAGTACAAGCTGGTACGGACGTTACTGTTCTAGAGCCATTCTGTTCTCATTGGTTTCATACCGGATGCATTCATTGCGTGTTGAGAATGAATGCGGGAGGAAAGCATTGCCCGGCTTGCCGTGCTCACATTGTTCTTGAGGAGCAGTAAGTCATTGTCTGTTTTCATCGCTCATATAAGTTTGACCAGTACCTTTTTTTCACTCATGGAATTTATTCTGCTTATTTGAGTAGTAGTATAATGAAATCCTATTCGAATTTTTCACCTCACTTCATTTAATTCCCCAACGCTGTAGATACCGTAGAAATACTCTCTGGAATTTTCGAATATTCAACCAAAACACATACTTCACTCGAATTTTAGCTCGTATGATGACTCATTTCGGAGTTCACACAATATGTACTATACCTCTGCCAAGCCATGTTCGTATTCGGTTAGTGACTGCTTTCTTAAGTTGAATCTATTTCTCTCCGCTTTCGTATCCTCACATCAACTCTAGAGCACCAGCATCCAGGACCAGAACATGGCAAGTAAAGCGCCCAGAAGTTCTCCGCTACTACCCTGGGAGGCCTTGGCAGCTTCCTGGGATGAAGGGATGGGCGATGAAGGCAATCAATACTTCTCCGTCCTGGAACTTCCAGTTCTCAAGAGGTTGGTGAATATTTGCCCCGAAGCCCGGGCCTTGGATCTTGCGACAGGAAATGGACTCGTCGCTCGGTGGCTAGCTCAAGAAGGGGCCTCTGTGCTTGCAACAGATGGATCTGAGGCAATGCTAGACCGAGCGCGCGCCCGTACCGCCATTTGGTATGAGCGGGGGCAGCTTCCAGAAGGCAAGATCGCCTTTGATATCCTAGATGTGACAGATAACGAGGCATGGAAGAAGAAGATTTTCAGTCACCCTGATATGGTAATTTGAAATCGATTCTATCTCGGAATCCTTTCACCCGTGTCATTAGTTGACTAACTCAAAGGCCAGAACCAAGGATTCGACGTGATAACCATGAATATGGCTCTCATGGATATTCCGGATCTTGAACCTCTTGCTGCAGGGTTGCCAAAGATTCTACGAAAGAACGGGTGGTAAGTCTACCCCCTGGAAACGAGTTTCTCATCTTCTGGATCGCTCAAACATTCACTATTTCAGCTTCGTGGCCACGCTACTACATCCTATCTTCTTTACATCAGGTGCCGACCGGCAATTGACGGTTCATGAGAATCCTCGGACCGGCAAACGAGAATTTGATCTAGCAATTGTTATGAGAAAATACCTCGATGTCCCCCCGGCTAGACAGCTGCCTTTTACCGAGAATACAGAGTCACCGCCTCCAGTATGAAGAACAAATATTCATTGAACACTGTACTATGTATTGACTTTCATCTAGTTTAGCTTTCATCGCCCTTTGCATGACCTATTTGCACCGTTCTTCAAAAATGGATTGGTACTTGATGCGCTAGAAGAGACCAATTTTGACGAGACCTTTCAAGACTCGAGTAGACCGCATGCCGCAAGAAACTTTACCCAATTTCCAAAAATACTTGCGTTTAGGATGAGACAAGGAAATCAGAATGAATAATTTTGTTGGTCCCGTTGATCCTGCACAAAGAAACCCAACTATTATTAGCGGACAATCTCTCCTTGGAAGTGATACAAAGACCATTGTTATAAGGAGTCTGAAAGAGAGAACGAGGGATATGAATGAGATTCAGCGATACTCAATGAGTATATTGAACAAAACCTAGTATTCTTAGATCTGGGATATGGGTAATCCTACTTAGAGAATATGACATATTCACCGTATATAAAGAGCTGGGATCCCAAGCAACACGGGTCGAGTAATACTTCTGATAATCTGCCACCATGACTCGGACTTGGGCCTCTGTTACTCTTGGTAAGCTCTTTGGTGACGATCCCACTTTCGGAGAACGGGTTTGCATGCAACTCCTGACTTATGTCAAGATGTCCATTGAGTTTATCACGGAGGTGAAGCATCTTTTCGATCTTGAGCTGAATAACCATCAAAATCAAGTTCATTGGGTGACCAACAAGATCATAGTCATCGTAGCAATTTTTGTTATACCCGTCTGCGTTCAGGCTTTCATGATGCCGTACGTCCATCGAGCAAGCGAAGCTCTTCTGGATTTCATCTTCGAAAGAAACTTAGGATTATACAACACCGAGGAGATGACCATAGAGGACTATGCCGAAATTGTCAGGGCGGTGGTATTGATGGATTGTCTGAGGCGTAGAATGAAAAACTTCAAGACCAGATTAATTCACAGGAAAGTTGAAGAGGTGGCAAGACTCGATGATGAGTATCAATGCTCGATTTGCTATGAGGCAGTTGAGCCCGGAACGATCGTCACATATCTACATCCTTTTTGCTCACACTGGTTCGATACTAAGTGTCTCATAATGTGGCTAAAGACCCAGTCTACACGTCCGAGCTGTCCAATGTGCAGAACCGAAGTGAATCTTGATGATAGGTCCATAGAAGAAACGATGGAATTTTGGGACCGTTGGTATGACTGGGAGAGTGATGATCATATTATCGATGAGACTGAATGGAGTATTATAAATGGATCGGCTGATCCATGGGATATTTACCAGAGTCTAGAAGAATGATATCAAAAATCTTTAGAAAATATACTGCAACTTTCATACATCGTAGACTTGAAGACGCCTACTAAATTCTAGTACAGCAAGGTTTCTAATGGTGACCAGTTAGTGGCCAGGGTGCGGACCATAACTGCCCGCATTGTAATCATCTCGCCAGGTGAATGACACTAGAAACATTAACTTGCCTTTATATAGCTTTGCGTTAGTCGCGGTTGTCCACCCAAATGGTCTTACTAGGCTGAGCAAGAAATGTCTGCTGTGGCCTTCTTGTTTAAATATTATCAAGTCAATAAAAGAACAACTCAGTTCTGGGGGACCAAAACCCGAAGCACGATTGGAAATGCCAGTATCGGATCTTGTTCCTTACGACCTTTGAAATTGAATTGGCTGTCAAGTATCCATTGAGATTCCAGCAGAGAGAAGGCTCGGCCTTTCAAGTCCGAACAATAGTTTTCAGATTCATAGAGCCATTGTCAAAACTTTATAGTCAACAAAGCCTGATTGAACGAACGTTGGAAGACAAAGCACCACAGGGGACTTTGTTTCTCGAATCAACCAACATTTCTTTGTGTGTATACCCGCTGGTTTTCGAGCAAAAGTGACTGAGACGATCACATAAATGAGCTTCAATCCCAAGTACGATAATTGAAGCATCTAAATTACAGCTCAACTTTCGCCATATTGCTCCACACCACCGATATTTGCGCTCAACTGCGTGTTGTCCTATCCCCGAGCCACAGCTATATCATCCCTTCAATCACCATGACCAACCACATGCGAACCTTGCGAGCATTAGGCATCATGACCCCAAGGCTCATTGGTGAGAATGTAGATCAATTGTTTTTCTCACAAAACAAACGAGTCGATAGTCTTGTCAGCTGCCAAGAGCACGTATTGATTGGCCAGGCCCCCCTTCGCAGCTTCCCCCTAGAGATGCGAGCTCTATGCCTTCAAGTGCTCGGAGGTGTATTGAGCCAGGCCAGAAACAACAACGGCTATCTAGAGTACTACGACCGACAGCTTTGGGACCTGGCTGAGATGATGCTTCAGCCAGATCTGAATGGGCGTCGATGCGTGTCCTGTCTTATCCCAGCATACATTCATCAGATGAGACTAAACAGACATTTTAGTCATCCTACATACGTTGAGCTCACACAGGTTATCTACAACTGGATCCTTATTTTCCAAAGCGAAGAAGCTGCCGTGAGTGAGCATGTCATGTCTTGTATTGAAACGATCTTCGCCCAATTCCTTGCTGATCAGATTAAAACCCGAGAACGGCAGATTGCTCGCGTTTTGAACGGCGTAAAGGTCGAGGTGGGCTCAGAGTTCTGCGATGATTGCCCCATTTGTGTGGAGGAAGTTAAACCCGGTGAATATATCACAACCCTTGCTCCATTCTGTACTCACTGGTTCCACAGCGACTGCATTAAGAAATGGATGATGAGCGACAACGAAGGGAATAATAAATGCCCAATGTGTCGGACGCGACTTGACCTGAGTGGATGAGCGTCCAGTTACTACCGATATTTACTGATACTGCAATAGGCAATCGGCAATAGAAAGAAATCTCATAGCATTCAATGTTGGATATCTGCAAACGGCTCCATAAATTCACGTAAATTCCATCCCATGTAAGATTGATCACCAGAAAACGCACGTATGTACATCCTGCAAAGAAACCGTCGAGAAGTCATATTGACTTCTCACGACCTCACGATTTGGCAAATTCGCCTATCCACTACGCGAGAACTTGTGCCAAACCTTCTTGAGTCCACCCAAGTGACCTGGCTTCTTAGGAACTGGGGGTGCAGCACTTGGTCTCTTGGGGACTGGAGGTGCAGCACTTGGCCGAGAAACAACATCCTCGGCGACCGTGCTCGTAGAGCCGCCACCCACAGTAACAGTCAACAACTTCGGGTTCGCATCATAGACACTACCTGATTGATCGACACCTCCGTTTGGACTGACATCATCATAGGGGAAGGCATATCCACGGCCATTGATCGTAGTTGCATGGCAGATACGCGCGTAGTGATTGGTGATGGCGTTCTGATAATAGTTGGACACCACCTCGCCATTCGGCTGGTTGGTGTTTATCAACAGAGTGGATCGATTAAAAGCCGCCGCCAGACGTGCCGTAATCGCATCCTTGGTGGCATTACCCGAGACAGCAAATGCCCCCGAGCTGTTGCTGAAGATATCTCCGGTGGAGGGCTTGGCGTAGGAGATGCCTCCAGAGAAGTTAAGTGTACCATTCGAGACAGTGGCAGTTACGTTGCCCGCAGCGGCTTGCGTATTGACTGTTAAGGTGGTGCTCGCATATTTGGACCACACTTGATTGACGTAGGCAGTGTAGTAGGAACTGAAGAGGGAGTTGTTGAGGACAATTCCGAGATTCGGCGAGACAGCGCGGATATTGGTCCCGTTCTTGGCGATCACCAACTGATCCCAGCCCGCACCGTCCTTTGCGTTCTGCGCCTTGAGAGCATTGCAAACAGTAGTCAGTCCATTCGAAGGAAGACCTTGCACAGAACTTGTCGTGCCGGAGGTATTCGTCAAGGCGATGGCGATAGGCAGCGACACGAAGTCCACATCACTAATGTTGACATAAAGCTGCGAAGAATTCCAAGTGAATTCGCAGAAGTCCCAGTACACGTTGTAGTTGGCATCCGAGGGATTCGAGGCCGAGGGCTCCACCAAGTTGGGACCGGGGTTGAGATAGAAGGTCAATTTGCCATCGCGAGCGAACCAAATACGCCCACCTGCGATATGAGGGATGGTGACCGTCTTGGTACTTCCAGATGCTCCAAGAGGGATCGCACAGTCCTGGCTCAGCCCGGTCAGAGTCGCCGAGGGGGATGTGGGGTAGTAGGCCGTTTTGCCGTCGGCCCCTAAGAGGAAGAGTGCATTGTTATTATCAATAGCCCGGCCGGTGACGTACGCGTAAACTGTGTTCGAGCCAGTTGTGTTCACCAGGGCAAAGTTCAAAGTCGCCATCATGCACGGTACGAATGCAGTCAAATCCAGAGAAGACCAAGGTGAGTTGCCAGGGCAAGAAGGTTGGTGGCTGGGGCAAGTCAATTGATGAGGGTCGAGTAAATCGAGGGACGAAAGAGAGCCAGACTATGAAGAAAACAAGATGAAACAGGGTGAAGAGGTATGTAAGAGGTGAGAAGAAGAAGGCAGAGCGAGGAAGTGAACTGAAGTGGAGAGCAACCTGATAGGGAGAGAGATGATCCTGAGGGCCCACCGACCTCTGCTCGGCGACCCATAATTTTATACATTTGGAGCTTCTATCTATTCACCTCAAAAGACTCGACAATAAATCGAGTAGGGCAGGATGACGAGGCCCGGTGATACAGTGTTGCGATGACCTTGCGCCGTCTCTCACAATTTGGTTGGAGGACGGACGAGATCAGTGATACCCTCACCTAGACTAGCTCATTTTACGTTATTTTACATTCGAACATCCTTGCTACTAGAAGGTTGTTCCCCGAAAACTAAAGGCTTCCGACTGAATATCCGGTTGTAGGCTCGCCGCCACGCGATCATGCTTTGCGGGCAGATGATCTACCACATGTCAATCCCCACTGGGGCTATTCTCCATTTGGGAATGAACACCAGTGGGCAGGTATCACCAGAGCAGGATTGCCCCTGTAAAATCCGGGGTCGCTGAGTGGCGGTAATGTATGCTTAAATTCCGTGGAAGGTCAGGGGACAAACCTGTGGCTGATTTACAAAAGCCATGAGATCCCTGCGATCTGCATTCCAAGGAAGATAATTCTAGATGTGTCTCGGGACCTTCATGCAGCCACACCACTTCTGGTTTGAACAATGCGTATTGAGTATAATATTGAGATTTGAATAACTAGCTTTCGAAATTACCCCTGGATATTCCATCGTCACCCTCCTTCTGACGTCTCTTCTTCCGCTCATCGAGTAGCGTCTTGGGATCAGGAAGGTCTACTTTAGGAAACCGACCGTCCCTACTGTAGGGAAGAACATCACTCGTCTCAACCATCCAGCGGAACATATGACTCTCCATGAGTCGTGCTTGAGGAACATATTGCGGGTCTGCTGCTAGATTGTGTAGTTCGTGCGGGTCGGCATTGCGGTCATACAGCTCCGCCGGTTCGTACAACCGGTAAATGTACGTCCAGTTCTGATCTCGCATTGAGATAGCTTTGCCAACGCATTTGGTATCTTCATGCTGCAGCTTGGCCTTCAGGTCGTAGGGGAATGGGGCTTGCTCAAGCAACGGCTCTTCGGAGATAAGGAAACCCCCTTCGGAGAAAGCATATTCTCGGTGTGGTTTGTTCTCCAGAATTGTCGGAAGCAGTGATTTTCCATTATGAGGAAAGGTCTCATCCACTCCACATAAATGTAAGATGGTAGGAGCTAAATCGACCATTTCTGCCATGCTGTCGCGTACAAGACCCGGAGGGATGCCGCCACCCGCCATAATGAGAGGCTCACGAACCAGAGTCTCGGATAGCCCGCTGGGCCACTTTTCAATCAGACCATGATCGCCAAGATATTCTCCATGGTCGGTGAAAAACATAGTAATAGTTTTGGCCCACAATCCTGTGGAATCGAGCTTATTCACAACTCGACCAAATTGATCGTCGAGTCGCGATATCATGCCGTGATAGGTGGCGGCCACTTCGGCCCATATCTCTGGAGTTGCACGATGAGTACCATGTCGCTGTCGAATTGACTGCATATATCGCGGCTCGTATCCTGTCTGAAGGTGTGTTAACCATATTGTCTAATGTACAGGAGCTAGTATCGTCCTACCTTTTCATCAGGCGATGATGGAAGCGGCATATCCTCTCGTTTATACATAGAAAAGTATGGCTCTTCAACTGTGAAAGGGCAATGAGGAAAGAAGAGAGGCAAGAACAACACCCATGGCTTGTCATCCGGAGGACAATCGAGCCATTGCTCTGCGCTCCGAACAGCCGCTTCATCATAGTCGACTGCTTTGTTCATATCTCGTCGACCCTTATAGAAAAGTCGCTCCCAAATGCTAATGTCTTCCTCGGGTCTCTCCTCACCGTGCTGTCCTATGATCTTCGTTACTTCGGGTGGCTCCAAAAACCCATATTCATCTAGGCTGAGCTCGGTGACTGTGGGAGCAAATAGGTCACCGCGTGGCGCCATACAGGCAACATGATACCCATCATCTTTCAAGGAACGAAACAAATTCGGCTCCCATGGCTTAATCAGATTTTCTAGCGATCGATGACCGGATACGTGCGGGTATAGTCCCGTAAACATTGAGCAACGGGACTGCGAGCACACGGACGCTTGAACATAACACTCCGAGAAACGTACTCCACGTGTAGCGAATTTGTCGATATTAGGTGTTTTCACAATTGGATTCATTCCAGTGCAGTGCAACGCATCGTAGCGAAGCTGGTCTGGCATGAATATAACGATGTTTGGCCGTTCACTGGGTAATCCGCTTGGTTGATGCGGAATTTTGTGGGAAGGCTTAGGATTGCCGGAATTCTGCATTGTGTCTTGGAATCCAAAAATGCCTAAAAAAGACCGAAAAAGGTTTCTTTATCGGTCGCTGTATTGCGGCCTAGGATTCTAGACAGATAGGGAGGAACAGTTTGGTATGGTGATAGTTTCTGTGAGTAGCCAAAGGCTCTTTCCTTGTCGAATAATTTAGCCAGGCCAAACCGACAGCGTGGAAACCATTGTACGTGATTTATATAGGATCTTCGAGCCAACCAACCAGAAGATTCCTAGGCCGACATCCGGTAGCTACTTTACTAGTCACCCCCGCATTTCAAGCCTTGATATTCTGAACGCGGGGATAGTATTCAGTAGCCACTAGAAGAAGCCAATCGCAACGGAACATGAGCACGAAAAAAAAGACTATTCTTGCCGTTGAGTTTCTCTGGAAACATCCGTTTGGAAATGCCCAGAGAAAGACTATTTTCTTTTGATTTGGATTGTTACGTGTTTTCGGACCACTGCCTTGCAATCCGGCTGTCGGCGACCGGTAGCCGTAGTGCGAGTCGCCATCGCCAGTCCCGATGAGCAACAGACCCGCTATTTACTACTTCCATCTGTTGACCAGGCAGCCAGCTCTGAAATGGGATTTTAATGTACTGAATTTAATATTGTGGCAAGCCAGGAGGTTTAATCTTCATGTTTACCTGACAGTCTTAACTCTGAAAACTTGCTACTATTGCTGGAGTTGCAGATACTAATTGACCTAGCAGACCATTCCTTCCCTTTTCGTAGTTATTAAAACCAACATCGTATCTTTGAAGACGGGTTTAACACCTGTCAGAATCTAGTTTCGAGGAGATTGCGATTTTGGCCATATCATCGTCGGCACTGGTTTCCGCAGTGGATATCCATTCTATCTTTCATTAGTCGAAGGGGCATACCAAACGAAAGATTCAAAGACATACTGCGAAATGCGCGAGCAGGGACACGCTCAGTCCACATCTGTTCCAACTCCTCGAGTGATCGTCCTGCCATATCAGGAAGACAAAAATATGCCCATGTAAGACCAAGGATACCACAACTGCCATAAATAAATCCAACCTTGGATTGAAGATTTGCATAGTCGGCATTTAGGAGATAAGGTAGAGTCAGCGTGACGATGAAGTCAAAGACAAATTGAGTGCAGTACACCACCAGGGCGTTTTTGTCTCGTAGTCGTAGATGGGGGACCTCTGCAGCAGTCACAGCACCACTAAAAGTTGTAATCAGCAGCCGGAACAAATCATTAAAACAGATCGCGAAACTAAAACTTACATCCCACCAAACGACATGACATAGAAGAAGCCGAATAGTGTACAGGTGGCGACGATTCCTGTTTTGTCGGATACGGAAACATCACCGGTCCCTGAGACCGCCGCAAATGAGCAGCACTGTTGTACAGGCTGTTCCGGAAACAAGGTAAAAAGGACGCCGACCGATCATGTCGACAAATGTGAAGGTGATGATAGGTCCAAGACAGGTGATTCCCGATGAAACGGATTGGAATGTAAAGGGGCTCAAGGTACCGAGACTTTTGATGAATATAGCCCCATATTGACTCATAAAACTCTGTCCTGTAACTTGGTTGAAGATAGCGACAGCGATTGCGATCCGGAGTCGTCTCTGAATTCGAATAAATGTTAGAGCTTTTTCTGGAAATAGAAGTGCCGCGCCGACGTACCTTGTTTGGGCCTTTCAGAAAGTCCCCCCATTTTCCTTTAACATCACGGTCTTGCTCGATACTTTCTTGCAATGCATGAACCTCGGCTTGACTTTCTTCCTCTGATAAACGAGAACCCCGCAGCCATCGTAGGTGCTTCAGGGCCTTTTCATTTTGACCCTTGCGAACAAGCCATCGGGGACTTTCCGGTACAAACCAGGAAAATAACAACACAAATGCGGGGAAGGCAAACATAGAAGCAAGTGGAGTTTGCCAAGAGGCATCACCTTCGTATTTGGCAGTGACGAGCGTAATGAACGAGCAGATGAGAGATCCGAAGATATGTGCGAAAACGTATATTACCACGATCGCCCCTCGGAGGGCTGCCGGACTGATCTCGGCCAGGAACATGGGCACGAGAAAGTTATCCCATCCAACAAAACATTGAACGAGAATACGGCCCGCTAGAGCACCGCCATAAGCTGTTGCACTGTAACTGACAGCGATACCGGCGAGAACGACGAATTGCATGACTAGGTAAGAGATTCTTCTGCCGAATTTCTCAGCTACCAGAAGGCCCATTACTGCGCCAACGCATTTGGCTGGAAGACCGAGGGAATTTAAGAAAGATAGATGTTGTGTAGTGAATCCCCACGTTTTCGTCTCGGGATTATAGGTACCAAATCGCTTTTCGTATGCTAGAGGGCGGGGTCAGATACAGGTGAATGGAGCATGTCATGTCATAAACCATACCGTCCATTGCTTGAATAGTAGAAAATACGCTGTTGTCGAACCCATAGCTGAATACACTTACGCTCATGACAAAGATCGCTAGAACCATGTTCAGGGAGGCCTGTTTAAAGGCCCGCAAATCTTTCCAGTTTGCCATGATGATAGAGTATAGCTCCAGACGGTCAAGATAAATACTTTGTGCCTGAACTAAAGAAGAAGCTTTCATGGGAATACGTCGTGTCTTTATAGAAACGAAGCTTGGATTTGTCAAAACCCCCAGAAATGTCGTGATTATCGTGTAGATCTCCGGAACAGAGACCAGAACGTGTATCTTACACAATATTGCAGCTAAAACTTCTTAGATCATGAAATTATTACTTTTTGAACGAGAAGGAATAAATGAGTTTGGGTACGGAGTACATCCAGAGCTAAGGCGTTTAGCGTCGTCACACCATGGCTCCGGCAGTCGGCATTCTTCACAAGTGATTGGACGACGGAATAGAGACAAGGCTATTTATACTGCGACATTCCTGGTTATCGACTCCTTTGAAGCAACGGCTCCTTGAGTTTGCCCATATACTCAGAATGGCGACTGGTAAAAGACCGAATTTTCTGGTAATTGTTGCCGATGACCTGGGATTTAGTGATCTCTCAGCGTATGGGTCTGAGATCGACACACCAAACCTGGACAAGTTGGCGCAGGAGGGAATCCGGATGTCTGACTTCCACACCGCAGCCTCCTGTTCTCCAACACGAGCGATGCTTCTCTCTGGAACAGATGCCCATATCGCTGGGCTTGGAGGCATGGCGGAGCGGATGAATCGCTTCCCAGAGATTTTCAAAGGAAGGGAAGGATACGAAGGCTATTTGAATTTCCGAGTAGCTGCCCTACCAGAAATTTTACAAGACAATGACTATTTTACAGTCATGTCTGGCAAGTGGCACCTGGGATTGGAAAAAGAACTGAGTCCCTCAGCCCGAGGGTTCACCAAAGTCCTCAGTACGTTGCCTGGTGCTGGGAATCACTACAACCACGAACCGCAATTGTATGGAGAGAAAGAGAAGCCTCGAGCGATCTTGAAAGAGAATGGACTCTGGATGGAACATGACCACTTTATTGATGGCAAAACTGATCTCCCTGAAAACTTTTACTCATCCAATACTTTCACGGACTACATGCTGAAGTACCTGGATGAGCGGAACGAAGAAGAAAAAGAGCAGCCTTTCTTCGCCTATTTACCTTTTACAGCACCTCACTGGCCGTTGCAAGCTCCCCCAGAGACTGTACGAAAATATCACGGCAGATATGACGATGGACCCTTAGCCCTCCGAGACCGCAGACTACAAGGCCTTATAAACAAAGGAATTGTCCCCGCCAATGTTGAGCCCGCGCCCCTCCACACCCTCGACACAACCCCCTGGACCGACCTATCAGAAGACGAACAGCGCAAATCCAGTCGGGCGATGGAAATTTTTGCCGCGATGGTCGACCTCATCGACGTCAATGTCGGTCGAGTTCGCGAACACCTCGAGTCTACGGGCGAATGGGAAAATACCTTTGTTGTCTTCATGTCAGACAATGGGGCCGAGGGCCAGCTTCTCGAAGCCATTCCCATCCTCGCGGGTGCGACGCTCGAGGATCTTCTCATAAAATACTATGACAATTCCCTGGAGAACCTGGGAAATCACAACTCGTTCGTTTGGTATGGCCCACAATGGGCCTCGGCGGCAACAGCGCCAAATCGCGGAGCTAAATCCTATACCACCGAGGGGGGGAATTCGCTGTCCTTGTATTGTTCGATACCCAACGGGCACCAATCTGCAGCCGGGAAGTGTATCGCATACATTCACCACCGTGATGGATGTGCTTCCAACGGTTCTTGATCTGGCCGGCATCTCACACCCGGGCAGCCAGTTTCGAGGCCGTGAAGTTGCCCCGGTACGAGGGAAGTCATGGCGAGCTCTGCTAGAAGCATCCCGTGATCAAGATGTTACTTTATACGATTCAGAAATTGATATTGTGGGCTGGGAGCAGTTTGGAATTGCCGCAGTTCGGGTGGGAAAATGGAAGGCATTGTATCTCCCACCACCACGCGGACTTGGTAAATGGGAATTATACGATCTGTCCACTGATCAAGGTGAGATCCACGATCTGGCAGAAAGTCACAAGGATAAGCTATTGGAGATGATCGCACATTATGAGACGTATTTCCAAGAATCGGGGCTATTTGATACGTATACGATGGTGCAAGAATCGCTTAAGAGGCAGGGAGCGAAGAGATGGTGGTAGATGGGGAATTAGTATGAAGAGTTCTGAACTTAATTGCTTCCAGAGTTAACCAATAATGTTGAACTTTAATCTGGGATTTAGAAGATATTAAGTACTAACATGAAGGTTTGTGTAATCCCATGAAGTACTACGAGTATCCAAGATCTATAATTAGCACAAGCCGGATAAGCTTATCCCTTCCACCTTCACCTTCAACCTCCCACCTTACCTCAGGGTACTTCTACTACTTACTACTCTTCTACCACAATCCCCTTTCAATAAAACTTGTCAGCCGCTGCCACTGCCTGCCACTGTCTCATTGTTCAACTCCATCTTGAAGACCCCAAGTAAGGGTGCAGACTGTCTGTGTCACCAGCCCTTGCGGCCAGCATCTACAGCTGCAGCTGCACTACCAGGAAGGGCGTATACTCGTGCTCCAATCCGACTCCCCACGAGCGAGACAGTTTCACTTTCATATAAAGTGCACTTCATCTCCCCAAGCTATACAAGCTGCAGCCCCAGTGATCGGCCTGGGGGGCTTTCCCAGACACAATCGTCACCGACTTTGCGGGCCTCATTCTCACTGGTCCACGCCAGCCTGTCGTCTCACATCGCACTCCACTTTGCCCTGATAATAATAGGCATGGCGTCCCTGAGCTTCGGCGGTTGCTCCACTTGTACACGCGCCTAGAACTTGATTACGATTATGCCTGGTGGCTGAATCCTTTGTCCTTCAGCCGCTCTCTCTCACTCTCTCTCTCCTGGGGAAAACATTCCATGCTGTCCGATGATCTCTAGGGCCCAACGCCCGCTTCTGGTTTGATCTGATCTGATCTGCTTTGCTTTTGCTCTGCTATGCTCTGCCCGCCATGTACATTCCACAGAAACGGGATCTCAGCCGGAAGAATGGCATCTTCATCATCGTACGTTTTACTCTCGGGGCTTCCGGTCGCATCCGTTCACTTTTCCTCCGATCGCATGTGTTTGCCCTTTGCTTTGCTTTGCCTACGCCGTCCTTCCTAACCTTGAAATCCCATCCATGAATAGTGTGCCTCCATAATCCTCTTCATCCTCTCATCGGCCACGATCTGCTACTTCGGGGCTCGATGGCTTCGGCAACGGTACTACGAACCAAAGTATATCCCGGCCAATACTTTAAACGCAAATGGAAACACTGGTGCCCTGGTAGCGCCTCCTATGGCCAGGTCTACAATCCAAACGCTGGAACGTCTGACAATGGTACCTCATATCGCGGCGGAGGTGGAATCAACCCTGAGATGACGACCGCGGATGCTGCCAATCCCAATGTTCGCCGAGAGACATCCATCCGATCCATAATCACCCTGCCCCCCCTATTCTGTGAGCCCAAAGCCGACTGAGCAAGTCGTCGCTCGGGAAGGTGAGCGAGGTGGAATGGACATGGTCGTGGAGTTCCCCGAAACTCAAGATGAACAAGAGACACGCCGAGAGGATCAAATGGACGCTTTATACCAGCTGCGTGTACAGAGACGCCAACAAGCTGCCGACCGCGAAACCCGCCGTAATGAACGACGAGCAGCACGAGCCCGTGGCGACTCGGTGCGACTCCAAGAACTTGCGGCAGAATCTCGTGCTAGAAACAATCGTGCTCGCGGAGAGAGCAATACCTCACTCAGTGCATCGGCTGTCATTGCTGAGCATCAAGCCCGCGAGCGAGATCGACGTATTTCCAGCGTCAGCTATGCGGATATAGGGCATGTCAGGCACGACGGGTCTCGTCTTCGAGCCGATTCACACGATTCAGATCACCACCCGCTTCTACAGAATGCCTCGCTCAACATATCATCGCCTTCTCTGGTTGACCCTTCCATGCACTCGCGAGGGGAATCCATGGCATCGTCCATCATGACTACCGAGACTGAAGTCGATCAATGGGCGCTGCGGCCCACGTCAACTCGCGGATCAGGAAACCCACTCCCCAAACCGACGAAGAGGACATTGGAAATTTGAATATTGTTCCCCCACCACCCGAGTACGATCATCTCGAATGGGGTGATGCGCCCGCCTACGAAAGTCCCACGCGAGAACGAGCCGATGACTCCAATCGCCCGCCGCCTCTCCTGACACGTCTACCATCGATCCACGTCAACATCGCCAGTCCTATTACTATTTCGCCGGTATTTCCGTCAGGACTGCCGTCGCGAGAGGATGAAAACCGCACGCCGACCCCGCCTGACCCTACGAGTATTCCGGCACCAAGCGACGTTTCGGATACTCAAGAGGAGCATACAGGATCCACTGACAGCCACCCTCCTGTTTCACGATGAATCCTCACCGGAGAGATATATTTGTCCACTTGAACATTACTTCGTCTAGACGATATTTGGAGGGACACACCTAATGAGCATGATTTACGATTTGTAATAGCATTTTATTTCCTTTTCTCATCATCATCTTGTTTGTTTTTTTTTTGCGGAGACTGGTCATTCGTTTGCATGGCGCCTTGTCTGGGATGGAATATTTGTTTGTCGGCTAGCAAGGCGTTCGGGACTGCCGATATTGATTTTTGATATTCTTTCTGTTTGTTTGTATGATGGGTTGGATGGTATGGGAAAGGCTTCAGGGGTCGGATTTAGATAGCACAAATCTACAAGTTCAGTTATGACTCTCACTAAGTCACCCTCGCCGTGCATTATCAAACTCCTCTTTGAAACGACATTTGCAATTCAACGCATACACTGGTCCATCTAATCCCTATAGACTCAGATGCGAGAGATCTAAAGAGCGAGCTGGACTGAAGACTCAGACTCGGACTCGGACTGGTTGTGCGTTGGAGTGGTATTGACGACAATAAACAAGAAAAGATAATATTATTTATTGACCGGATATACTTCTAGTTGGGTATCATGATTCAAGATAATTGTGACAGCGATTTCGGTTCGTGTTTGTTGCCAGGAAGTTCCTGGGTCATCGGCACGTTCCTGGTACCTCGTGCGAAGTAGCAGTACCATAAAGTTCACCCTGGGTGGAGCTACGATATCCTGGTGGACTAGAATACCCAGACGGTTGAGAAGCCGCGTATTCTGAGACTTCATGTTTTGTAACTGATGAAGAACGACGACGGCGAAGGAAAAACCATAGAAGCCCAAGGATCAAGAGTGCTCCACAAACTCCTCCAACCACGCCGCCCGCAATTGCGCCTTTATTTGTTGACGAGCCATGAGATTCCGAGTCCGCTGATGTCGAGGAAGACTCTGACGTTGTCGTGGATGCCGAGGTTTGTGATGTCAAAGTGCTAGCGGAAGTTGTGGTATCTTTATAGTAGTATCTTGTCAGTTCCGTGGATTTCTTCATGCCTTACATTGGCAGATGGCAATTTGGAAGGGGAACTTACCAGGCGACATAGCCTTCTGAGAAATATTCGTTATATTCCCAGCTGCGTACATAGCGTTGAACTCATCCGAAGTCGCACAGCCCTTCCAGTGTTCTTTCTTCGTGGCGAATCCTTTCAGATCTGCATCACAGCAGAACTTCCCCCAATTATCATACCAGAGAACCAAATCTGGATCAGCGCACTGTTCTGGAAAATTTGCTGGAGGGTCTCCAAAACTGCATCCCGAATTGTTTTCACTGTCGACAGTAATTTTCATTCCCGCTGGACAGCATTTCTGCCATTTGTCCCAACTGTGTGCTCCATTTTCGTCCGAATCGCATTTGTTGGCACGGCGGGCAGCCCAGCCGGTTCTGGAAGTCATGATATTATATCTCCACGTTACACTGGTTGGTGTTGATATCGGAGGTCGTCACAAGACGAACAAGCTTTGGCTCGGAGGGTTCAGGTATCCGCTGACCCAATACGAATGGGAGGAATGCAATGCAGGTTGAAAGGAGGGGGCGAGGATGAACTTGGAAGACAGGGCAGACAAGGCTCCTCTCAGGCATGCGGCTATTTTGAACTTGCGCATACTGCGGAGTACGAAAATGGGGAACAGGGCGATCGATATACCGTACTACCAAAACTTGACAGAATCCCAATTTTACTTCAAGGGTCATTGGTTTAATGCGCATCTTTGGTCGCGAATGCCAAGATGACGATGCGGATCTTTCTCGTATTTGACTAGCGTTGCGGCTGAGAACAGAGGATATTGCAGAACTACTCCTAAGTTACTAGATCGGGATATGATTCGTGGCTGAAGCAAACACAATTGGATTCGATCCTCGTGGCGTACCCCGCATCTAACTTCTGGACCCGAAAAGGAGTAGAAATAACTTGATGATCAATGTAAACAGAACGGATTCCAGAGTACCAAGTCCCCTTCGCCTGAAATACTACATAATCCTCGTGGGTTAGAACATTGTTTACCATGTAGAGATCCAAAAGGCTATATCTGAATCAGAACATTCGATATTTCTTCAGCTTTTTCACCGAAAAAACAAACTTGAAGATCGGTTGTCAATCAACCAAGGAAGGAACACTTTTTTGATAACTAGGACGCTGCACTTTATGCCATCTACTCGCTTCTATGATATAACATAAACAGAAATACCCATGAAACTTAGAACTACCTAGCAGCGACTAGGTAGTAGGCGAAACGCTACTTTACTCTGAACGATCCTGGGGTCCCTGTGGAGTGAGTAAACGTAGCCAAGATTCTCTTCGTGTGGGAACGGACGACCTGGGCACTTGATTTGCTAACTCTGGGCGCATGAGTTAATTCTTCAGGGCTTGCTATAAGCACGAGGTGCGCCCGGGCGGGCGTAAGGCTGAAAGATGGCTAACCAATTATATACCCATCTCGTCCGCGATTCATGACGCATATCATAGAATCAAATGAGAGCTGCTTGTCCGAATAGAAGTGCATCTGGGAAAAAGGCGAGGGCACGGCGTGGCCTCGCTTGGACGATGAATCCATTAGCAACAATGATCAATCACAAGATTGCGATCACCACCGGTCCCACAATTGTCACGGTGGGTACGGAGTACATGATATTCTTTTCGTATTTTTTTTAGTTGCTCCTGGGGCCCTTCAAGAGATTTGGAAACTCACAATTCAACCACTAGACATGATAATTCCATTGAAAATAAAGGCCTGCATTGATATGAAACACTTGAACATTGTCAACCAGCTAACATTCAATTCATTGATCATACAGACAGAAGGGCCCATTACCAAAATCCGGTTTACGCTGTGTTTGTGCTTTCTCGCACTCTTAACTTCTTTGAGCGTGTACCCCTCATCTAACACAGCCGGCCATACACATATGAGTAACATTCTAATCCCGCCCTTCGGTCAAAGGTACGTCGTTAGAACACGCTAGCAACCGTCCGTTGTTCCTGAAGGGGAAGTATGCGGCGTCATGCCGTGAAGCGGTATCCTAGTGTTCTATTCTATTCGTCTATTCGTCAATACTAGCATGGATTAGTCGAGGCTGTGCGTTAGTAGGTAATATGACAGCTGTCAGTATGGGAGGATCAGGAAATCATTTATCATGCTCGTTTCTCATTCTGTAAAAATATTTTCTTCTCCGACCGTATAGCCCTGGAGTTGCGACAATGCCTGACCAACAAACATATCAGCTACATCCGTTCGGATGGGAGCAGGATCCTGAAGAAGAGCGGTTTAAAGTTTCAACTCTCGACTATTTGACGGCCTGCACTTATAACAATTATGCGCTTTTCTTTCGCATGAAGGATTCAGTGAAATGTCGTGCTATTGAGGTCCTCAAGTTGGGACTAGAACGGACATTGAGCCAAACACGACATCTTTGCGGAACAATTGAAAAGGATCCCAAGGGTGGTCATTCTTTCGTGAAAAAGAAGGATAGCACTGTGAAATTTGTTGTTCAAAGATTGGATTTGGAAGGGGAAACTTACCCATCTTTCGATCAGATTGAGAAGGAGAATTTCCGCACTGCTTTCCTCGGCGATCTTAATCTTTGGAGCGTGGCACCAATGACCTATGGTGAGAAGCCCGAGGCTCTACCTGATAGTAGTCCCGTGGTAGCAGCCTATAAAGCGAACTTTATTCGCGGAGGGCTTATTTTGAATCTGCACCACCATCACTACGCCAACGATGTCATGGGATGGGCTGGATTTGCTCGACAGCTTTCGGAAAACTGCTACGCAGTCTTCAATAATACGCCTTTCCCTTCATGGGACCCATCATGTCTAGATGTATCACGCCTTATCAAAGCTGACCTTCCAGACGAAGCTAAAGTTGATGGCCCACCCGCACCAGATCGGCATCCGGACCACACTGTCTCTGAGTCCCTACTCTTCCATTTACCTAAGAGCAAGGCCGCAGAGCTTAAGACCCTTGCTTCCGGAAACAATCATGAGTCTTGGATCTCGACATTTGATGCCTTTGCTGCATTTATTTGGCGAACGATGACCCGTCTGCGTGCCCCCGTTTTCAAGACAGATCTGTCAAGACCAACATTCTATGGCCACGCAGTCGATATGCGACGAAGGATGCATAGCCCAAATGTTCCCGCACGTCTTCAGCATAATGTCATGATGGGTGCTATCTCAGAAATGGCACCCATCCCTGCACCCACCGCGGCAGTAGTGATATCAGAATGGCCTCTTTCACGGCTAGCCGCATACATACGATCCTTAACAAAAAGTACAACTCAGGAATTTCTCGATCAAACGCTCGAAATGATCGTCCCCGTCCGCGACAAGACAGCCCTGAATATCCGGAGCGATTCGAAACCACCATTGTCCATTGTTTTGACAGACCATCGGGAAGCGAGCATGTCAACCGCAGATTTCGGATTCGCGAAGCCGACTCTTTACAGGCATCTTTTGGATAATGTCTCTGAGGGTGTCTATGTTATCTCCCCCCTCGTGATCCTTCACCTGGATCTGATTTCGGGCCGGAATTCTCTATTGCGTATGAAAGACACCTCAAGGACGCCTTGCTAGCGGACCCGGAGTGGAATCAGTATTTCGAGTATTACGGGGTGGATGCGATTGATGCTAGATTTGAGTGAATAAGCCAGGTGAATTGATCGTTGGAGCACGGTGCTCCATAGCTGTAATCGATCCAGTGTGTCCTATGACTTTGGAAGGCTCCGCCACCCCCTCAGTGAAGCTACCTACTCTAATATCACTAGTACCTATACAAATCGCTTGATCCTAACAATTGAGGGTAGTAATTAGTAGGTAACATTATGAATGGGTACTAGGATACCAAGTAGAATAACAATTATGTCTATTTCAACTCATCCGATTAAGAAATGCAGCATGGAAAAGATATAAGGATATCAGAATGAGAAAACAAAATAAAATCCTTCACCTCCGCTTAGTCTGTCTCAGCAGTCTGTCTTCGAATGTACGAAGCCACTTCGTCGGCCCGTGAAAGCCAAGGGAAATGTGACGCTTTGATCTTCTCCGTCTTGATCAGGCCCCCCTTTCGTTTCGCACGTTCCACCATTACTTGCTGCACGGGCAAAGGGAACGCCTGATCATCTTCACATAGCAGGTAAGAGGCCGGAAGCTCGAGATACGCCGCATTCGTCGCGGGGGCGGTATTTGTCACCCAGGCATGCGGCCGAAGGTTTTGGCCCATTCTGCTCCATCGGGCACATCGTGGAAGAAGAGCGCCTGCGGATCACTGGGCATGACAGTTCCATTCGGCTCCTGTATACATATTAGTCTGCAATTCATTTTCAAACCGCGTCCTCTTGAACATTCAAGGTCGATCTGTTTGGTAATACTTACATCTCGCAGAAACCACGGTGGCGGAGCACCGCCAAATAATCCAACAAGACTCTCTCCAAGAGCAGGGATAACTGCCGAAATGAAAATTATCCGGACAACACCCCCCTTTTTGCCAGAGGACTCGCGCTCATACTTGGCCACGCCATCCAGAGCACTGTTTACTGGTACCCCGGCCCAGCTGTGCGCAACGACGAACACATCTTGACCGGCATCAGATGCTGTCTCGACGAGAGAACGTACAGCGGCAATATCTGGCTCTAGATCTTGAACGGATTTAGGGTCTTGTACCGATGGGAACGACACGGTGTGGCAATCGTAGTCGTCGAGTTTCTCGATCAGAGAATCAAAGATAGACGGAGGACACCACGCGCCGGGCGCAAAAACGAGAGCCGGCTTGGACATAATTGGATAGAATGATGTTAAGAAGGGAAGTGAGGGCTGTATGTATGTGTAGCTGTGGGTTTGAGGGCAAGCCAATAGAAAAAGCCCACTGGTTGTCAAGTGGCTGAGTTCACTCGGGGAGTTCAGTTGGGGTTTGGCGGGGCGGAAAGCGGCGGGGCAATTTCAACCGTGGAGAGGAGAGTCTATCATGATTCATGCACATACCATACTCTGTTATGGAAAAAATGGAAATGAAACGATGAATAGAGGAAAAGAAATAATTGGTTTATTTTGGCCGATCTTTCAATCAGATTGCCCCTCGGGTTCATGGATCAGATCGTACAATTTGCCCCCAACACGTTGGGAAAGAGGCCTATATGGCCCTTCTTCGACCACGACGCCATCGTCAAGCACAATAATATGGTCCGCAATCTCGATCATCTCCTTGGAATGAGTGATAAAAATCACTGTCAAATTATTCCGCGTGGCTACGAGTCGATCAATCGTTTCCCGAACGATCCGTGCCCCAGCAGGATCGAGACTGGAGGTGGCTTCGTCGAGAATGAGGATTTGGGGTTGGCGGAGTAGAGCACGCGCGATTACGATGCGTTGCTTTTGTCCACCTGAAAGACCAACTCCACCGTCGCCTACCACGGTGGAATATCCCATTGGGAGAGAGGAGATGAACTCGTCAATGCCGGCGGCTTTGGCGGCTTCGCGAACATGGCCTTCGGAAGCAAAGATCGAGTGCACACTGATTCCGTAGCGAATGTTGTCCTGGATAGTTCCTGGGAAGATAGTCGGTTGCTGAGAAACAATCGCGATCTGTGACCGAAGAGTTGGAACATGAAGTCGCAGAATATCATGGCCACCAAGTGTTATCGTAGGTCGACCTGATCGATCAAGGGGGGCTTCATACAAGGCCAGCAGAAGGGAGGCGATGGTAGATTTGCCGGACCCAGAACGTCCTACAAGGGCAGTACAGGAGTTCCTGGCGATGTTTATGGAGACATCCTTGAGGACTAGAGTATTCGGACGAGATGGGTACCGAAAATTCGTTGCTGTCAACTTGATTGGCGTTAGATCGGAGGCTTTCAAATGGCCACGGTGCTCGTGAGATTCATCGCGAGGTAACTTGGCTAGTCGGAGTAGCTGGGAGGCAATTTCTCGGGCTGTATTAATTTGAGGAACTATACGGGAAAATTTAGTTATGATATATCGTATAGCCAGAAAGGGTCAGTATTCACTCACTCCAGGACAGAATTTGGGCAGCATAGCCGATGCCGAAAAGGAGCATTGAGAAAACCATCATCACCTGGTTGACAGTATACTCATACCCTACGAGTACTCCCCCATAATAAAAGAGCAAGCCTAGAAAGGTTTGAGTCATTTATAGGCCCAGACAAGAGTGGATAAGAAAAGGGATAAGCTCAGAGGGGACCCTAGAGATGACCTTACCGTTCGCAAATATCACAGTAGACTCGACCATACCGAAAAGGATGCCAGTATAGACCGCACGCTTCAAGCCAACATTCAAAGCTCGCGACATAGCTTGTTCATGCTTGTGATGAAAGTAGCCCTCAAGTGTCAGCGTCCTAACGGTTCGGATCTCCGAGAAAGTCTCCGTAAAAATGTCAAACACAACATTATTCGCCGCATTTGTCCGTCGCTCCCACACGCCATTCGTAGCTTCAAATCCCCGAGTAATTGAATAAATGAAAGGCCCACAGGCAAGGGCCACCAGTGTTAACTTCCAGCACAATACCAGGCTCCAGACGATCGCCATCACGGTGATTGAAGCCGCCACAATGACATACCCAGCAAAACGGCCGAGGAGATTGCGCATGTCTTCGCCATTTTGATCTAAATATGCCGTAAGTCTCGAGGCGCTATTTCCTTCATTCTCAAACCATGCTCGTGGTTGATCCAGGATCCGCTTAAATGCACGGTTGCGGATAGTATCCATCCAGGCCTCCCCCGAAAACTCCAGGAAATAGTGCATGAAAAATGAAGCCAAGCCGTCTCCAAAAGATACCCCTAGGACCGCTAAAGACCAAACCATGGATAGTCTGGCGCTGTCGCTCCCGGCGTAGAACGTGGTAAATAGCTTCGAAAGGCAAAATGAGAAGATCGGTGTCGCACTAGCATGGGCCAGTGAAGAGAGGATTCCCAGAATAAGAACGACTCGCTGCTTGCTTGTCAAGTTTGGGAATACTGTTCCCATGATTTTGGACAAGGGAGTTGGCTTCTCCTTCTTCGATGACCGTGGTATCCTACGTTCTCTGAGAGCCAGCCTGCGGGAGATCCTCTGGCGTTTTGTTTCTTGAGGCTGGTTTGGAACCTGTGGACCATCTTCATTCGATATTTCATGCACTCTGTCGATGTCGGGAAAATGAATTTGTATTTCTCCCATCTCAACTTCTTCGGGCGTTGCCTGCAATGATTTCAACCAGCCTTGGGATGGAAGCTGGGTTCTTTCGGGCACTTGAGACTCCCTTGGATTACGAGAGAGTCGCTTTTTCCGAGTGTTGGGACTGGTCCTTGTTGACTCATCAGATTGACTGAGAGAGGCGCCGTGCTTTCTAGATGCCATATCTATTGTACTTGACCGGAGACCTGGCGGTAAGTGATGCTGCGCCCACGTCTGTCTGTTTTCTTGACGAGCCCGCGGCGGCTCCGGCAAGTCCCCCAAGCCATCGTCCGAATCTTCTTGATAAAAGCTTGAGGCTTCACTCCTATGTCGTTCGAGCTTCTTCTCATTCTTTCTGTAACTCTTCTCTTTTGTTTGGAAGTAATTTTCCGCTCCCGACTGCTTCTCTATCTCCTGGCGATAGCCTGAATGAGCAATATATCCTTGTTCCAGCACATAAACAAAGTCATCTTCCAGAATCTGCGACACATCATGCGTAATGATAATTGTGGTCTTTCCTCTCCTCCATTCCCTTATCGCTTTCATTATAGCTAGGCGATTGGTCCGATCTAGTGCACTGGTCGGTTCATCCAGTATCAGAATCGGCGTATCACGGAGCCTTGCCCTGGCTATGGCCACCCTTTGACGCTGGCCGCCACTCAGAAAACTTCCGCCCGGTCCCACACAAGTATCCAGTTCCTGGGGTAGGCTTTCGATGGTACTTTGAAGCATGGCCATGTCAATCGCAGGTTCGGCATCATATCCTGTGATTTCCTGATGGTTCTTGCTGCCGAATGCGATGTTTCGGAGTACAGAGTCATTGAATAAGACGCTTTTTTGTTCCAGAAGGGTGATGTTGTTTCGGGTCCAGCTGACGTTAATTTCATTGAGTGGCTTTCCGTCAATTAATATCTCTCCTGATGTTGGAAGGTAGAAGCGCATCAGGAGCTGGCCAAGTGTGCTTTTGCCCGATCCACTTTTCCCAATGAGGAAGGTCATTTCACCCGCAGGAAAAAAAGAATGTTGATGGCTGAAGGACACAGGCTTCGGGTTGGCTTGGATATGCAAACGCCACCTGCAAATGTAAGTTAGAAAATGCTGAGAAATAGGGATTATTATTCAGAGGGTACTTGCATTGTTGACCTCGACATCTCCTTCGCAATGAAGTGGGTACAAAGAACCTTTCAATTCACTCTTCCTTCGATCCATCGCACGAGTTTGTATTATCGACTTGAGAAGTTCGCCCGCGATTTTGCCCTTCTCTATAACAATCATTTGCGGAAGAACCTGCTCGATCGATTGTGCTGCCGTCAGACAAGCCCAAAATGTCCTGAGAACCTCTCCCGGGGATAGCTTTCCCGCTCGGGCAAGAGAACTCCCGTACCAAAAGCCTTGAACAAACATCCCGAAAACCATCCACCGAATGAACGCAATCTGTAGTGAATTCAATCTCGCTTGTCGGAGGTAATGAACCGCCGATTTCTGAATTCTGCTCGCAAAGTTCTGAACTTCGAACCCCTGGCCATTCAAACATTTCACGGTATCGATCGAGGCAATCGCATTGTTCGCGATTTTCGAGGCTTGTGTAAGCTCTGCTTGCTGTGCAACGACGCTGGCATTCATTCTTGTGGACAGAAACGCGATTATAATCGAGAAGACGGGAAATCCTGCGAGGGTCACGAGTGAAAGACTCCATGATGTATAAAATCCGAGCCCGAGTGACGCTAGCGATCGGCATGAGTATTGGAGCAGAAGTCCGAGGGGTTGTGACGTCGCTATTTTCAAGTCTTGGATCTGGCTATATGATCATCCATGTTAGTGATTGCGAAAGCGGACCGCGGACATGAAATTAGACGAATAAAATCAGCTCACGCTTGGATGCCAGAGAGTAGAGCGCCGGATCCCTCCTCCTGCGCCTCAAACCATTCCACATCCCGACTCAACAACTCGACGAAAACGTCTCGCCGGACGTTCGATGCCTGCAGTTCTCCAAATATAATGAACGCTGCGTAATATGCTCCGTTGAGAAACCACCCTGCTGCCCCCAATCCGATCATCCCCAGACAACCAGTCAGTATCTTGCCACGCAGTCCAATGTAGTCTATATCTCCCGATCCGAAAGCCGTAAAGGCGTTAAACACGTCTCCCAGGAAGATCGCCAGGGCCGTTGTCGCGCATCCTGCGAGCAGGGCGAATATTGAGCCGACGAGGACACCAGGTAGATGTTTTCGAGTCGTAAAATGGAAGAGAGACTTCCAGCCCGGTGTTGCCTTTGATTTTGACTTGTCGCCGCTGTTTCCGGTCTCTTGGTCGGGGGTATTGTCGTCATGTTCGATGAAGTGTGATTTTCGAGCCATGGATTCTAAGTTTAAGCCACAGCCAGTGTTGTGAATTGACAGCAAAAGAAGAAAGTTTAGAAGGGAAGATCATATCCTGACATGATAGAAAAGCATCAGTGCAAGCGTATCGTCGCGCCTCGTCGCGTCAAAGAGGCGACATGTCGCTCCCAGTCTTTATATTCATTTCATTATTGATCGAGAACAATATGTAATTTCCTAGATGCGGAAGTATTGATGGTAAGTGAAGAAAGCCTGAAGAAACTCGGCAACAA